AAAGTTTGAAGAAATATATCCTCCAGAAGTAGCAGAATTTGTATACATTACAGATGACACCTATACCAAGAAACAAGTTCTGAGAATGGAACATTTAGTTTTGAAGGTCCTTGCTTTTGATTTAGCAGCACCAACAATAAATCAGTTTCTTACTCAGTACTTTCTACATCAGCAGTCAGCAGACTGCAAAGTTGAAAGTCTAGCCATGGTAAGTTCCTTTCACTTTGCTGCATGGCAGTTCTTACAGTCACAATTAGGGGCAAGCCTCTGTTTTATTACGCTGTATTGGCCAAGATTCTATCACATTCTAGGTAGAGATTAATGATGCAGTGTTAAGAGAAGCTATCAATGGCCACAGATCTTCTGTATCAGGGAAAGCAATAAGAATAGTGGTACCAGTTCTGAAGTCTCAGCTGGTAGTTAGCTTAAAGGGGTTGCTTTAGTAAAATTATTAAAAGAAGAAAAATAGATAAGAATGAAGACTAGAAATGTTTAATGTTAAAGGTATGAATATTTTCCCCCCTGGAGTTACTAAATTGCTAATTGCAAAGATCGGGAAAAATTGGGTCTCAGGTTATTTAAAATTTTAATTGTAGCTGCTTTTTTTATTTTAATGAAAGTTTATAGAGACTTAGAGTTTCCAATCTTTCATTGTTGCACTTAATTGTAGCGCTTTTGTGGTTCTATTTTTGTTCCAGTTTCTGGGAGAATTAAGTTTAATAGATGCCGATCCATACCTGAAGTATTTACCGTCAGTTGTTGCTGCTGCAGCCTTTCATATAGCACTCTACACAGTCAGGGGACAGAGCTGGGTACGTATTACATTGGTTTTAGACATCTGTCTCTGATGCTCTTGGGTGGTGAGAGTCACCCAGAGGCACCTCAAACTTTGTCTGTCTGGAGGGGGGAAAATCAACCATAGAAAACCATCAGAACACAATTCTACTCCAGTAAATGGAATCATCACTGAGTGTCAGACAGACCTATCATAAAAACCAGACATTGTACTGACCTGGGATCACGTCATTGTTGAACGAATCCTACATGTACGAGAACATCTCTCATTTGTTAGGTAGGAAACATGGATCTTAATATGGATTTAAAGGTGTGCTCAAGGGACCTCTGGTGGCCTAGTGGCAAGAAGCTGTGCTACAATCCTGAAGGAAGGCATGTGGTTTGAATCCAGATGCTCTGCTGGAGATAGAGGGGCAATCTTCTCCTGTGCCAGTCAGATCCATCTCAACAGTATTCAACAGGGGGGGGAGAAAAAGAAAGGTGTGCTTAAAGAATTGGAGCCATACAGCCTGATGTTATTGAGGAAAATGGCTCACAGCATTAAAGGAATGAAATAAAGGCCTGTAAAAATAGGAACATTATAGAAGTGTTAATAGTGTATCAGAGATAATGGATAGGGCAGGGCAGGGTTCAGGTTAGCTGTTCATAGGGTAGCTAGGATTCATACTCCAATCAACTTGATAGCACTTAACAAAATAATATTGAAATTTTAAGTGTTTTAAAGTGAACTTTATTAATTTTGCCTATCAGAAATAAAACTCTTGATTTTCTACTCTTTTTCTTTACAGCCTGAGTCTTTAGTACAGAAGACTGGATATACCCTAGAAAGTCTTAAGCCTTGTCTCATGGACCTTCATCAGACCTACCTCAGAGCACCACAGCACGCACAGCAGTCAATAAGAGAAAAATATAAAAATTCCAAGTAAGAATTGAGTAACTAGTAAAGAAGCTTGCTAATCCAAATGAGCCTGTTGTTCAACAGTGCTTTTATAAGTATAAACTAATCCCAGCCTGCTTTCAAAGCTATTTTCAGGCTATCTTTTGATCCTTTAGCTCATGTCTCCTGTCCTGCTTTGGGTGAGGGGAAGATTGTGCATACATGCTTTGGGCCCTAGTGATTCTGTGGTTGTTAACTTGATCAGATAGATGCAATTAGTATTGTTGAAATTCCATTATTATTCAATGATCTGCATTGAAAAGAATTTTTCTTTTCTGCTTTAGGTATCATGGTGTTTCTCTCCTCAAGCCTCCAGAGACATTAAATGTGTGAAAGTGAAGAGACTACTTTTGTTTTCCAAGATGTAAATCACTCAAAGTATATGATGTACAGTTTTTATTTGGTTTTAGTTTTTACAAATCATATCTGAATACAAATATGGTGGTCAATTACAAAATTATGGTCTCTATTTTTAAAATGGTTTTAATTTGTATATCTTTTGTACATGTAGCTAGTTTAGATTATTGGCTAATTCTATGTGGTTTTTATTAAACCAAATAATAATGCCAGCTATCAGGATTATTAATAAACTGATTTGGAAAATATAATTTGCAAGTCACACTTAATTTCAGATTAAAATAATTTGTCTTGAATTACTATAAAATGGAGAGTTGTACGGTGCAGTTGGAACCAACATCTAGTAGCTGGTCCCAAAACCCTCCAGCAGGTTTTCAGAAGCAGTAAATCACATGCTCATTCTTCTCCCTGGGAGCAGCTGATGGATTTATACCATGTGTCTTGAGTTTGGCAATGTAGCTTCTTAACATCAGGTCACCAGAGCTCCCTAAAATGGAAAGTACTGGACCAATTTGCTCACTTTGTAATTTAAAGAAATCCTTATCAGTAATGAGACTGTTCAGGGGTCTCTAAAAAATGCTTTGTTCTTTTCCATTTCTAAATTGATCTTCATAGATAGGTGTGGGGTTTTTTTAGTCAGAACAAAATCATAGTGGACCCTCCAGTGGTTTTTCTTTCAAGGGAGAAAATTCCCCATCTTTCTTATGAGGAGTAATAGGCAGATTCAAACTGCTTGCCCTTGTGTTGGCAGTGCATTTCTTTGTCCACTAGGCCACCAGAGCTAAAAAGCAAGGTGGTTGTTAGGTACCATCCTTTGACTCGTGTTACTTTTCTGTAAAATTCTGCCCCATCCTATAAATTTACAGTCTTTTGATCCATCTCATCGGTCGTCTACTTTTCTAAGCATGATAGGGACTGGCCCCTCCTGTTCACATGTTAAAATACAAGAAACAGGATCACCACCTTTTTTCTCTGGATCAGTCTTATCAAGATAGATTTGTTCTTTTAGCAATTTATGGTATAGTCAGGATTTTTCATCACAGTGCCAAGGGGACTGACTTCATTGTGCAACTTTCTGTGAAGCAACTGAAAATATGGTTTGAGTTGGGCACACATTTAACAGCCTTGCTTTAGAGTTTCTTGGCAGATTATTTCCAATACAATCCATCATTTGATTTTGTAAGTGCTATATCTGTGGATACTGATTGTGGATCAATGTAAAATAAAATCCTTCACAACATCAAATTTTCTGGATTTTGCTTATTGGTCTAATTGTGAGGTTTTTTTTTCTTTAATGTAAGAATATACTGAATTTCTTTGCTTCAAGTCTTTCTACAAGCAGCATGTCATTGACATATCACAAAGTAAGACTCAAATCTTCTGTGGGCTTCATATATTCCAACTATGAAGGTTATGAGGAACAAACTAATTAGTAACTCGCAAATGATAGAAAGATGGAGGAGGCAGGAAATATACAAATTCTCCAGATGGTTTATTTTAAAGCATAATGTAAAAAATAGTTAAAATTCAAGATTTTTAGATTTCTAAATAAAAGCCAGTTCTTAGCATTGAATAAATAGCTTTTTTAATATATACACAGTGTTATGTTAGCTTAAATTTACAGTTCTCTTCTTTTTCCTCTTCTTTGTGGGTTTTTTACTTAATGCTTTTTCTTGTTTTGCACTGATGGTCTGTGTGCTATAAACAAGCAAAACAAACAGTTGTTAAATAGCTGACATTTATCAATAAAGATTTACCACCCTCACAATTTACCTGCTGTAATTTTACAAAATATTTCAACAATTTTACTACAGATTTAGGTCCCAATATTTATAAAACATGGAAAGAACCATGGATATGTTTATAAACCATGGAAAGAAGTAATGTCTCCTTAAAGCTCATTGGAGCAATGTGTATTTAAAAAAAAAAAAATCTCTACTACGTAAGAATAAAATCAAAACCTTTACAGTTTGTTTATACATTTGACAAATAAGCCCAGAAATCTATTACCTTATTTTCTTTGTACTCTTTTCTGGGTCTAAAATGATCATTTCTTCTTCTTCACTATCTGAGAGTACTATAGGAGCACCTTGAAGAAATGTATGAGAAATAGAAAAAAGCATAATTAGTCTTGGGGATTTGCACATGTGGCTTATGTTAAAGATTGAAATTATTTCCACACAAACAGCCCATCTTTGGATAGAGGTTTTGGAAATACACTCATTTTCTCTATTCAGATATTTTCTGAATTAGTTGGAGCTCTGAAAAACAATTTATACATTTTTCCCCCTAAAAATCCTGCAGTAGCACAACCATTGGTAAAATGTTCAGAATGTTTTCAGATGCCGTCAAGTTGACTGACTCAGAGAACCTATGAACAACAGACCTAAACTTTGTCCCATTCTGCATCATCATCATCATCATCTCTGTCCTTCTCAAGCCCATCTCGCTGAAGGTCTTCCTCTCCAACTGACCTTTTTTAGCATGTTATCTCCTAAAAATATGGCCAAAGAAAGACGAAGTTTCACCATCAGGAGCACTCTGATTGCACTTCAAGACAGGAATGTTTGTTCTTTTGGAAGTTCATAGTTTATTTAATACTCTGCCACAACCACAATTCAAAGGCATACTCTATCATCCTTAATCACTGTCCACCTTTCAGATGCATAGGAAGCAAATGAAAAGACCACAGACCAGATCAGATGCACCTTTGCCTTCAGTGTCCCAATGTGACATGTCTTCATTTCCTGACTACTGTTCCTATGGAGGTTGACTGGATCCTGGTAAAATGAAATCACTTTTGAAGAGAAATTTAATCTTTTCTCCATCTGTAATGGTTTTACCTCCTGGTCCAGTAGTGAGGATTTTTGTTTGTTGATGCTGAGATGTAATCCATATTGAATGAAGGCTATCTTCTTTGATCTTCTGAAGAAGTACTTCAACTCTTCTGAAGCCAGGTTGTATCATCTGCATAACACAGGGTCTTGAGTTTTCCTCCAATCCTGGATGCCACATTCCTTTTCAAATAGTCCTGGTTAGTGGGTGGTTCACTCAGCAGGTTAAGTATGGAGAAAGGTTACAACCTTGATGCACATCTTTCCTTGTATTTCTATGTTCAGAAAAACTGGCCTTTTTTTGTGTTAACAGAAAATATAAAAATCCAAGTTGTACTTGTGTATCATCATTCTGGAATGATTGAAAGTATGCCAAATAAATTGCTAGTACTGTATTGCAGGACAACCACCTGGCCTACTGACTGGAAGAGATCTATATTTTTTTTCCCATTCCAAAGAAAGGCAATCCAAGAGAGTGGAAATTATCAAACAATATCATTGATATCACATGCAAGCAAGATTTGGCTGAAGACTATACAGAAACGACTGGAACAGCACATCAACAGAGAAATGCCTGAAGTGCAGGCTGGATTGAGAAAAGACTGTGGCACTACGGATATTATAGCTAATGTCAGATGGATCTTGGCTGAAAGAATACCAGAAGAATGTGTATCTGTGCTTCACTGACTATGCAAAGGCATTTGACGGCAGATCACAAAAACTGTGGCTGACGCTGAGAAGAAAGGGAATCCCAGAACACTTGATTATGCTTATGCAAAACTTATACTTGGATCAGGAGGCAGTTGTCAGAACAGAACAAGGAAACACCGCATGGTTCAAAACTGGGAAGGGTGTGCGTCAAGAATGTATCCTATCTCCATATTTTTCAATCTGTGTGGAACAGATTATCCGGGAAGCTGGGCTCTATGAGTCTAAGTGTGGCATTAGGATTGGAGGTAGACTTATCAACAATCTGCGTTATGCAGATGACACAGCCCTACTTGCTAAAACTGAGGAGGACCTGAAGTGCTTGCTGAGGAGGATACAAGACTGCAGCCTTCAATATGGATTGAAGCTCAACATCAAGAAATAAAAGATTCTCACCCCTGGGCCAACTGGCAGTATCATGATGGATGATGAAGAGACTGGGATTGATAACAGCTTTATTTTGCTTGGCTGTACAATTAACACTCTTGGTATCAGCAGCCAGGAAATTAAAAGATGAATTGCATTTAGAAAGTCTGCTGTCAGAGACCTCTCCAAGATACTGAGGAGCAACAATGTCAGTCTGGATACTAAGGTGCACCCGATATAGGCCATGTATGCATCAGAGAGCTGGACAATGACTATGGTTAACAGGAGAGTTTGATGCCTTTGAACTGTGGTGCTGGAGAAGAGTACTGAATATTCCATGGACTACTAGGAGAACAAACAAGTTCTTCCTGGAGAAAGTGAAGCCAGGCTGTTCCTTGGAGGCAAGGCTTCTGAAGCTTCGTCAGCTATACTTTGGACATGTTGCAAGGCAGGATCCATCCTTAGAGACGGATGCCATGCTTGGGAGGGGGGAGGGACAGCACAGGAGAGGAAGACCCTGGATCAAATGGATTTATTCCATCACTGGGGTAGTGGGGATAGACATGTCAGAATCAATAAGATTGGCAAGGGATAGACCAGGGTTTATGGCTGTTGTACGTAGGGGTCACTAAGAGTCACAGGTGACTTGGTGACACATAACAACATTCAATAAGAAAGTATACTTCAACACTGGAAAGAAAATTCCTAGTAGCTGAACTGTTGCATCAGAGGGTGAACGGATTCTAAAGGATATTTCTTCCCCCAACTCCCAAGAACCTCATTTATACTCTTAAAAAAATGTGTATATAAAAAGCCATTTCCTGTACACCCTAGCCAATCTTGGTCTTTGTACTATTGCCTGATAAAACAGAAAATTCTTTTTCAATTTTTGCTGTGCTTTGAATTTATTTCCTTTATTATGAATAGGATTTATCGAGAAAAAAAGTTACTAGCTTTCTCTGTTTTAGAGCTTTGAATTAGTTTTCAATTTTTCCCTTTGTTCATAACCTTTAGAAAGGCTCCATCTAACATACCTTGGGTCCACCACTCCATCATTCTCCCGTGGAGCAGCTGGTGGATTCAAACTGTGTGCCTTTATGACTGCAGCGCAGATTCTTACCACTAGGCCACCAGAGTTCTTTGATTAACCGTAGAAAATAGAAGTCTACAGAAAGGTGTATGCAAAGATGCTTACTGTTGCACTGTAACAGTAGGGAAAAAACTCCAACAAGCAAAACCTAACCACCTACATTTCAAAGGAAATCGTTTGGCCATTTTAAAAGGTACTTTACACTGAATAACTTCTCAGATTCAGCTTACAAAAACAGATGTTTAAGTCTGCTTAAGAATTGATGCCTTTGAGATATGTTGGAAAGTACTGGTTATTCTATGTACTTCTAAAAGAATGAACAGGTATGTCTTGGAAAGGGTGCAGCCAGAGTGCTTCTTGGAGGTAAGGATGTTGAAGCTGAAGTTTTCATCTCTCATACTTTTGACATGTTTCTAGGAGAGGCTATTCCTTGGAAAGGGTTTTCCTATTTGGAAAGGTTAAGAGTCAGTGAAAGAGAGGAAGACTCCCACTCAGGTAGACTGACATGGAGAGTGCAGCAAGGGCTCAAGTGTATTAGAGATGATGAGGATGACACAGGAAGGACAAAATTCAGATCTGTTATTCATAGGGGTGCTATAAGTTGTACTCAGCAACACCTAAAAACAGTAACAACAAAGCAACAAAGCATAACTCCAAACTCTACGGTTAGTTTTGACTTAACTCTCCAATGGGTTTTGAAGGCCATATATCACAACTGGAGGAGACTGCCCACGCTGCTCCTTTAGACTGGCCGATGGATTGGAACTGCTGGGGTCACGCAGCATTTGGCTTAGCAGCACAACTCACTACAAACGATCCCAACAACATCCAGTTTGTGTGTATATGTATATAAATACATAAAATACGTTGTCATGTACCGCTGAGTTAGAACCAACTGATGGCTGACCCTCTAGCAGGCTTTTTGAAGCAGTAAATCGCATGGGAAGAGACTG